CCAGACACTACTGAAGAAACTGCACAACATACTGAGGTATGCTCAGAAGGTACTAAAATATTTATTTCAGTGTTGGATATGATAGGTAATCCGCAATTACGCTTCTGATGGCCCCTCAAGCACACACATACACGTACACACACGCACACGAGGGGTAATGCGGAGGCTCACAAACACACCAGAGGAGGACGAAGTACGGCGGATCATCTTCACAATTGCGGAGCACGTTTGGTCGCTAGGAAACCGGGCGTATCACTTCTGCCATTTGACCGTAATCGCCCCCGCCCCCTCACTGATGGAGGTCATTGTGAAGATGAGACAAGGGAGACATGGCGAGCGAAGGCGACATGTCGGACCCGTGCAACAGATGGCGGGGAAGCAGTCCGATATGATGCAGCCTCGGGAATTATTTTTCCGGGTTCCATATTTTCCAGCAATTCCTGGCGTTAACATATCTTGGCTTTATTTTAAAATCTTACATATTTATAAACACTTGTCCTCATTTTTTCCCCCATTTTTACAGCATTCAAGAAGGGGCGGCCATCGCAGCCGGGGGCCGATTCAGTGAGCCCACACATCCCTCTTTGCTCCCCTGCCCTCGTTACCTCATTCATTTAATGGCCTTTTATGGGGCAGGCAAATGTGGATTTTGAGCTTTTTCTGTTCTTTTGTAATCTGCAGCAAAAGATGCATTTGTTTGACTTCTGCGTCCAGCAAAAAAAAAAAAAAAAGCAATTCCTGGCGTTAACATATCTTGGCTTTATTTAAAATCTGACATATTTATAAACACTTGTCCTCATTTTTTTCCCCATTTTTACAGTATTCAAGAAGGGGCGGCCCGGTGGGAAAGTGGTTAGGGACCGATGGATGGAAGTATTCTAGAAGAGCAGCGCAGTTTAGTAGCTAGTAACTTTAATTTATGAGACCAAAAAAAAAAAAGACTTGACCTGAACTGAACGGAATTGCTTTGTTTAGTTTTGCCGAATGTGGAAGTCAAACACTGAGTATGTTAAACTTTTGTTTTTCTGATGTGGAAGCAAAACCCTTCCGTCCAAACAGCTTGATGTCTCTCTTTTTCGATTCTTTCCAATATAGTAATCAGATCAAAAATAGTGAGCAAAGCCACAAGATGAAGTAAAATCACATACAGAAAATTTGAATTCAAATACAGAGCGTTGAAAGAAAAGCATATCGATCCCCAAAAAAAAAAAGACTTGACCTGAACTGAACGGAATTAATTGCTTTGTTTAATTTTTCCGAATGTGGAAGTCAAACACTGAGCGTGTTAAACATTCGTTTTTCTGATGTGGAAGCAAAAGCCTTCCGTCCAAACAGCTTGATGTCTCTCTTTTTCGATTCTTTCCAATATAGTAATCGGATCAAAAATAGCGAGCAAAGCCACAAGATGAAGTAAAATCACATACAGAAAATTTGAATTCAAATACAGAGCGTTGAAAGAAAAGCATATCGATCCCCGCAGGGAGGCACGGAAGCATCTCACATCTCAACAGCCTGGCAGGTGCCACTTTTGTCATTAGCTCAAGGTCGTGGCTACCCACGATGCCTTGAGCAACAAGCGCACCGGCAAGTGTGACCTGCAGGGAGAATTTCTTGTTGTTGTTGTTTGTGTCAACACTTGAAAAACCAACCCAAAAAAAATGAACACGCGGAAACAGAGCGCCTGTTGCGACTTAACTCAGCAGGCATCCTCGGGTGTCCGACATGCATGCATGCAGACACACACACACACACACACACACACACACACACACACAAACACACACACACACA